ATGGTGTAGTGCTTCAAGGCCCCAGTTGGAGAGTAGCCCCACACTGCCCTGGACAGAGTGCCAACAGAACAAAATGAGCCCTTGCCCCAAGGAGCTTCCAGTCTAACACAGCAGGATGTAGCAGAAGCTTCCTTTCCAGTCTTAGGACTTCTCTCCCTCCCTTCTGTCTGTCATTGCTGGCCCCTCATTCATGGCTAGGCTAAGAGAAGTCTGTCATGTAGGCATAGTCTTTGTAAGTTAAAGGGTAAATGACTGGGCCCTTAAACTACAAGTGCCTTTAGGTACTGACCTCTTTCGGTGTTTGTGGGAGAGAGGGAAAGGTTGGTGTGTTTTTGCATTCCCTTTACATGTGGCACACTGTGGGTATTTTATTCACCCACAGTGCTTGTAGCTGTGCTGTGCAACTAGGGTTAGAAGTGGGCCAACTTGTGGGCACTTTTGGACAATTGTGAATGCAGGAGGCTTGACTCTGGCGTGGGAAGCTTTTCAGTCCTGTGGCCCTATGTGGGTCTGTGAAGTGCCATGCACCCTTATTTTCCATAGAAACAAAGAACAGATTGACTTTTATTAGTAAATGTTTAGGATTGGGAATCCAGAAAAAAGATGACAAAGCTGATAGGGAAATAGAGATCGCCCGAGCGAGGGACTAACATAAATAATACATAGCATCATTCCCCAAAGCAAAAATACATAGACAGAATTTGTGCTGCATCTGAAACTCTTTCTAACTGTTCAAGAACGGGTACTTTTTACTGGAGTGGTTTAAATTAGGGTGGGTTTATAGACAAAGGTAGGGGAGTTAACCTGCTAGGACTTTCTTTGCTTCAAAGATCTGTTTGAGCTGGTGGTCACAGTACCACTGAGGGGGATAGCCTGGTTCTGCTTTTTATGTGCAAATATAGAAGAGGAGGAAACTTGTTTGTGCAGGAGTTAAACCGAAGGAGGAAAAAATGGTTCTCTTCCAAGCTGCGCCCACAATGAGCCCGGCCTATATGAGTCACCAGAGTGATGGCAGTTTGTGGGGATGCTCAAAATATGCTTCAGCAATTTACTGAGGTTGCTCTTCAAAGGGTCTTAAAAGGACTGTGGGCTGTTTGGGCCCATCATCTTTTTAACTAGGTGAGGGTTGGTGGGAGATGAGCACTGGTGTCTCCCAAATGTTCTCCACGGAGGCCGTGTCTACACTGACAGGGTCAGTGTCAAGGTCAGTCTCAAGTCCAAGCTCGCTGACTTCCATGCTGCAGCCGCCCTAGGTTCTGCCTGTGGCAGCAGTCCAGCCTGACCTTGATAGCTCTGCTAAACTTCTGGCATGAAGTTGGTCCCACCACTGTTCACCTCTACGCCTGTCCCTGACTGCAGAGTGTGCAGCACTCTCCTGGGCCTACGGTGCTCAAGCGCAGGAAGACCACAAGCTGCAGTCCCCCAACTTCCAGTTCCCATTTGATGCCCTTCTGCACCCCCATTCCTCTCTCCGCAATCCTTAAGGAGAGACACTTACACCAGTGTAGACACATGCTAAGTGGCACCCAAATGAGGAGTAACTTGCAGCGTATCTTATACTTCTGGGCTGCGCTCTCCTTCCTAACACAAAGGCAACTGTTAACGTGTTGACATGCGCTCATGCCTGGCATCTGAGCTAACACCTGACTTGGATGGATAAGGCGGTTCATACCTTTGACCCTGTGCAGGCTCGGACAGCTCTGCAATGGTTACACCCCAGTCACAGTCATAACAGCTTTTCTTCTTTTACCATATTTACCTAAATCCAAGAAGACTTTAAACTACAAGTGCCTTTAGGTACTGACCCCTGCTCCCTCCCCTGCCAGATGAGCTGTTCCAGTCTGGAGCAGGCAGTGGCTCACCTCCAACTTCAGCCCCAAACCCAAGACAAAAGCTGAAGCTCAGCCATTGCCTGTCCTGTCAAACCTGCTTCTCCTCCCCCACCCCTGCTGATGGGGGAAGAAAATCTCATCTTGGATTAGAGTAAATACAGTAATTTAAGATGAGGTGCTTGGAAGCTGTGGGCAATTTGAGAGGGGTGTGAACATGCAGTATGGACTCTATAAACTGGCTGCTATTTCATCCTTTCAAGAAGGGGTCCAAACGATGTCCATGGCTCCTTTATAGACCCTGCTGTTGGAAGACAATGCCTTGTTGAAACACAAGAGACATAAATGACACAACGGAGTAACCTGGGTCACAGATGCTAATTACAGTCTCCAGAGATTTTCCTCTTTTAGCCATCCAAAGGAAGAGAAGGTGTACTGTTCTCCTCTGCCCCCCAGCCTGGCTTCCTTCTCATTTCCTTGCCCTCCTAGCCCTGTGATAGATTCAGGCTGGCGCTCCATCCTTTCTTAACTCCATACCAGCCCAACCCAAGTTTTAAGATTTGTCATTCAACACAACTCTTAAAAGGTCCGATCAAGTAAAGAAACACGGTCTAAATATTGCTTGTAAATGTTCTCGGACTAGGAACGTAAGATTGGCTCTGCTGGAACAAACTCATGGTTCATCTAGCCCAGTAGATGCTTTAGACAGAGAGTATATGAATGGGCTGTGTTTACTGTGATCCACCCCCATCATACCTTCCCTTGCATCAGCAATCCTATGACCCTATGGTTGATGGTTTTAGAAATGTCACAGGACACGTTTTTGATTGTTCTGTTTAATAGACCCCAATGAATCTGTCCTCCCTGAATTTGTGTAATCTCTGGTTATACTATCTGAAAAAACCTGGTTTTAAACCTGGTTATACTATCTGAAAACCTGAATTTGGGGCTATTCTGATCTGGAGCATTTCATGTATGCCATTCTGAATGATTGACTTTTGCTAGGGCTAGCAGGCTTCTCTGGGGTGCTTGAATGTGCGTTCACCCGGCAATGCAAAACTGTTGTATCCCCAAGCGTAAATGTTCACGTGACAGCCACATCAGATTGATTTCTAACACTAATCCTTTAATTCAGTACTCTGGGCACATTGTACTGCTGTTCTTGGGCTGGGTGCTAACATAGGTCTGTCTGCCAGCGTTGACTGGCAGTGTAAGTGGACGTTGAGGCTCCCATGGCACTCCGGGAGAGCAGGAGATGGCCAGCTCACGTCAGTGAGTTGTTTCCAAGGCTTGGTGTGAGTTATTGCTTAGTGGATAATGGCTCTATGTACCCAGCCCTCTGCATCTTGCATTAGAAAGCAGCTCGAGGTACAGTAAATATGCAAGGTAAAACATCAGATTCTAAACTGTTCTCTTTCTTAACCCTCTCTTAGTGTCTTAGTTAGAGATGCACCAGTTAACTCCTGGGGCACCATTTAGGATGCCTGCTCCTTTTCTTCCCCTAGTCACTCATCTGCTTCTGCGCCTGTATAAGGTAGGAATGTAGCAGAGAGGCTGGGGGCACAAACAGAACGGAGCATCTAAGTGCAACGGTGCTCGAAAGAGCAGTGACAGGTGGCATTTGCTGTTTGATGCAAGGGGATTTGCCACATGACCTATTCCGAATCTGTCACACGGCAAATTGATAAGACTTGGCATCCAATGTAAGAACAAATCTAGATTATCACAGGGGCGGTTGCAGGGGAACTCACCTGCTGAGCAGTGCACATGGACTGAGCTTTTCCATGAGGACCTGATGAGCCTCAGGAGGGTTTAATTGTGTGCGCTTGCCTTTGCTCGATCCAGTCTTATATCCCTATTGAAGAGAATCAGCTTTGCTCTTTCCTTGCACTCCTGGGTGAGTGGGTAGATCACAAAGCAGAAACTCTGTTGGGTTGAGAAGCCAGCTGGAGGGAGGTGGGGTACAGACAAATGGACCAATTATAGCAAGTTAGCAGGGGGCAGGGGCTTACTGTGCATCGTTTCTTGGTAGCTCCCCAAGTGCCTGCTCCTACCTCCCACAGTAAGTGGGAGCTAACCTGGAGCAGCTTAACCCATGATGAAACAAGATGCAAAGAATTACCTTGGAGAGGCTGATACACAGTAAATCCCCACCCCCTGGTCGCATGCTGTAATTTGTTCATTTGCCTGTCCCCTGGGTTGGTGATGCAGCTAAATATCACTGTACATGTCATTGTCACTCCTGCTTTATCTGGGGCTGTCTGTGCACCTGCAGTTGTCTGTGAGCCTGGCAAGTCATGCAGCTCGCTCTAAGCTCTCCAGGCAGTCAAGCGTATGTCAATTAATACCCTACCTATTTGCCGATCAAGTTACCAATCACAGAAATGCAGAAAACACAGGGTGGACTGTGGCTTTTTACACAGTGGTGTAAACAGTTTAGGTATGTACTTACAGACGGCCAGCAAGTCCTCCCTCAGTCTTCCCTTCCCCAGGCCGAACAGTCCCAGATCCCTTAGTCTTTCCCCATAAGGTTTGTCCTCCAGGAGTTAATCCTCCGCTCTCCCCAGCTCTTCTAGGAGGCGATAGAGATTGCTCAGAGTTGATCAGAATCTGTTGAAGACATGGCCTGTCTTTTAAGACGCTCTGTGCTTAGCTTATGAGATAAGGCATCAACGCAGCCTGGGAGTAGACCTCAGCAGCATAGTTAGCTAAACACTGTCACTTTTTCTTTAGTCCCCCAGGTCCTCAAAAGCTGTACTGAATTCATTGAGAAACATGGCATTGTGGATGGAATTTATCGTCTCTCTGGGATTGCATCCAACATCCAGAAACTACGGTAAGGCCATATTGATTGGTATTAGATTAAGTTAATGAATGAAGCACATGCTAATCTCAAGCGTTCAGTGCTGACAGGTTCTGGGTGTCTTGGGGAGCTGACAGGTCCAGCAGCCTCACGGCAATCGTGGGCGGTGGTGGTTGCTGTTCTGGAGTCTTTAATATCCCAGCTGTCTGAAAGAAGAGAAGTGAAGTCTTATTTTATAGGAACTCAGTGTTGGTCATTGGAACAAGAAAAGTCCCCTGGGACTGGAGAAATGGAGGGCTCCAGGATAGATTTCAATCTCATTCTCTTTATTGGTTTGTGGCCTAGGGGTGCTATGTTGTAAATCTCAAATGGAGGAGAGTGAATGTCACCTTGTTGCTCTCGGCTTTTTGGGCATTAACTCACAGCTGGGCATGTTGCTATACTGCCGGGCTGATCAGGGAAGTCCAGTTCTGCACCATCCCAACCTGTTTTGTTCTTCTCTAAAATTTTCCCATGGTGTTTTCCAAAGCAATGTTTTTACCTTAATGTTTTCATTAGACAACTCCCCAAACAGCCCACAGGGATCACCTTGCTTAGTTACAGAAATACTCAACTGTCGAGTTTTCTGAGATGACAGGAAGAAGAGAAGGATGAGTAGGATACAATGTGAAGACTGTTGTGATCTTTCATGCTAGTCGCTGTTAGTGTGTTCAAATATTTGATTAGTACAGGACGCGCTGCTGTGACTCCAGCTTGGAAGTAGCATATTGGTCTGTTTGTAAAGTCAGATCTGATATTTCTTGATTAATGAGATTCATGTTTTTAATAATCAAGTACATGAACTTGTGAAAACCTAGGTTTTGGTAAGTCAGGACATTAGAGCATTTCTGTCACCGAGGAGCTTTTCTTAGCGTTTCTTAGAGCAGTTCTGTCTCGGTGGCAGTGCAGCAGCACCTTTTATGTGGTTGATGGGCAAAATCAACCCATTGCCACAGTCCGGTATGCTCAACTCCAGCATCCTAGGCCTGGCCTTGCTTTTCAGCTACCATCAAGTAGATTTTATTTGCAAGTAACATTCTTCCTAGCATCTAGAAGAAATATCAGAGAGCTATTAACATTCAATGGAAGTGGGCAGAGAAATGTAGCTTTTACAGGAATTTAAATCGATCACAGAATTATAGCAGAGTCAGGTGGCAGGGCCTTCAGGTCATGTCCAGTCCAGCCCCCTGCTGAACTTGGAGCCACCCCTGACAAAGGTCAAGGAAATCAAAGAGATCAAACATATTTTCTGGCGGCTCTTTCAGGGGAGGAGGGAAGTACTCATACAGATATTAGGCTGAGTCCTCCACCCACCATATCCATAGAAGCACAGAAAATTAGGGTGGGAAGGCACTTTAGGAGGTCACATCTAGTCCAACCCCCTGCTCAAAGCAGAACCAGCCCCAACTAGATCATCCTAGCCAAGGCTTTCTCTAGCCGTATCTTAAAAAGCTCCAAGGATAGAGATTGCACAACCTTTCTGGGTAACCTGTTCCAGTAGTTTACTACCCTCCTAGTGAGAAAATTCTTCCTAATACCTAACCTAAGATGATATCATCTTGGTGGCTTGGTTATACATAGAGCTTCTCCATAGTTAAGGGCTAAAGAACCACTCCCTCCTATCCTGTGCAGCTACCACTCCTGCACATCCCCTTGGAAAAGAAAAAGCCAGCAGATCCAGTCTGTTTGGGTGCAGTGATCCCATGAAGACACCCCACATCCTCCCCTGCGCATTGCTTCTGCTTAGTTGTTGTTGGGATTAGGGCTCAGGATTTGGCTATTGGGGAGCATAGTGCATTACCAGGAGCAGAGTGAGCTTTGTCCCACGGACCATTTAATTGCCCGGGAAGGCTCTTGCTCAAAGTTTTCTCTCTCCCGAGCTGGCAGGAACAACACACTCCTTTCTGAGCTCCCTCTTACTCCTGTGCATCCAGGAGCAGGGAATAAGTTTCTGTACTAAATATAAGTACGTGATGAGTCAAAGATGCTTGTGGGAGCCAGATAAAGTGAACACTAAAGATTGTGGCTGCAGTGAATCAGTCAGGCAGCGGGGAGCGAAACCCTTCATTTCCATGTCCCGCTTTTCCTTCAGGGTGAAGAGCTGGGGTGGGCTGCCTTTCAGCTGCTCATCATCAGATGCTTACCTCTGGACATTCGTTCTGAAAAGTCCCCTTCTGCCTCCTCCTGACGTAGAAACAACTTTCCTAAAACAATCCAAGCAGCTGGGGCATGGGAGGGTAGCGCACCTTTTGCATACCACAGTAGGAGGGCACATCACTCAAATTGTCTACAAATACATTTGTGTCTAAGCCTGTACATGAATGTACCTGCTTTTCCCAGGAAAGCTTTTCCACGGGGCATAGGCCTGATGTTACAGTCAGGGCTGACTGGCTCAGGGACCACATCATGCAGTCAGCATTAACCAGAGAAGCCACAACAGTGCACACACACCTCTCTGGCTGGGTTGTGGTAAACACTGCAACTCATAAGCAAGACACCGTGTGCAGTATGGAGCTACGCAGGTTGCCTTAGTGCTGGCACTTGGGTTGGTTTATCCATGACTGCAGGAGACAGACCCAGTGCACGCAGCAAGGAAACAATAAACTTTGATAATGTTTTCTGCAGCTGATCAGTGGAAGAGCCACGTGTGGCTCCGGAGCCGAGGCCTGAGTGTCACTGGTGTAAGGACGTGGCTACAAGATGGTTCCACTGTGCAGCACAGTGAGGACCTGAAGTTTCAGGCAGGCCCTAGAAATGTGCGGTAGCACTGAGCATGCATTGCCATCCACTTCTCCTACAAAGCAGAGGTGTGATGTAGCTGGGTAGGAGACCAGCCAGGGTTGTGGCGTGGGTAGGACTATCCATTGAGCTTGGGAGCAGCCTGGATTCACAGCTTGAAGAGTCTCATGAGGTGACAAGGCTTCGGATGCAGCAGTCATGTTCTCACTGCTCCCAGTGGCCTGACTTGCCACGCTAGTCCCAGCAAATCTATCCTGGCTAATTTGAAACATCAATTTCCATGCACATATTCCAGCGGGGAGCAAGCCTTGCCAGCCCTGGCCCTCACAGTGCGGTTTTTGTTTCATAAACGTTTGTGCTTTGGGTTTCTCTCTTTCCCTCCCTATGTGAAAACCAAGAGAATGCGCAGGGATTTTCTTCATGTGGTTCCTGGCTCCCTTCCCTCCTGCCGGCAGAGGCTTGCCGGGCTCTCGAGCTTGCATCCAAGGAATTTCTGCACACAGTAGTTTTGATGTACAGCAGCTGCTGATGGGTCTGGCGTCCAACATTGCTTCTAATTTAGATTTCCAGGCTTTCAAATTTTAAGGGGGATTGAGCTTTCATTTTGGTCCCTGGGGAGTTTCACCCAGGCGGTTCCCAGTCGATCGTCAGAGCTGCCCATGTAAACGATCTGCATTAGAATTGAGAATGTGCCCTTAAGACTCTTAGTGAAGGGTGTCTGCACTGTTACCAGAAAACTGATTTCTGGGTTAGCCAGACAGCTGTAAAACCAACTGAAAATGCCTCCGAAGAAAGCAGCTCATTTCAGAAAAATGTGAGCTTGCAGCAGCATAAACGTGACTCTTGTGGCTTTGGCTCTTGCTCATTTATTTTTTCCTGTAAATCATGTCCTCACCGTCTTCCGACTGTAATTTGTTTTGGGCTTCTTTGCTCCCTTCTACCCCCCTGCACCCATCTCCTTTTTTTGTCTCCAGCCACGAGTTTGACTCTGAGCAGATCCCCGACTTGACTAAAGATATTTACATCCAAGATATCCATTGCGTAGGCTCCCTGTGTAAGCTCTACTTCCGGGAGCTCCCGAATCCCCTGCTCACGTATCAGCTCTATGAGAAGTTCTCAGTAAGTACAAACACGCATTTTCCAGCCAACCTCGCCTGTTCCCAGCGCCTGTTCCCAGGCACTGCAGTATCCACACACAGTGCTCCAGTTTTGCTTCCGCCTTGACCGTTTCTTTCCTAGCATCTAAATACCTCTGTGCTGGTGTACAAACACTCGATGACCAGTACTAATTGGCTTCAGGGAGGCCCTGCATCTAGGACATCTAAGGGCTATAATGATGGCTAGTACCACCAGGCTAGCAGCAGAAAAAGTCTTTCTGTGCCATCAGGGCAGAACTTGCAGGTCGCTGGACCGGCTACACTGTAGCTCTGTCTTAACACTGGTTGCACTTAAGTCTGTCTCTGAGGCACAGGGATACCAGAGTGCTGGGCCCTGCCTAGCAGCTTAGGTAAGAAATCCCTTAAATACTACAACCCTGTGCGCTGTCCACATTTGTCAAATTCTTACTGATTCATTACATTGTTTTAGGATGCTGTTTCTGCTGCTACAGATGAAGAACGACTGGTTAAAATTCACGATGTCATCCAGCAACTGCCTCCACCTCACTACAGGTTAGTGCATGTGGTTGCACCATGCTCTGGGCTTTCGGTCCTCAACCTGTCTACAACAGAGGGGTCACCGGCACGTGCTGACATGACAGCTCATTCTGCTAGATGTCAGGACTAATGTAGCTGAGTTTAAGGAGCGTACACCTGTTGCTGAAAGGGACACCTGGCATTTTTGTGTGCTTTCCAACTGCCCTTTCCCCACCCTCTCCGCACAGAAAGCTGGCTCCTGAAACAGCATTCTTCCTGCACGCATCAAATTATATGGTTGAGCACACTTGGAAGGATTTAAAGCTGTAAAGTGGACTTCTATTTTAATTAGAGCAGTAATAAGACACACATGCCATACATAAAGCATCTCTGATGTTTCCTGCAAAACATGCCATAAGGGGCTACGCCAGTGTCTGATTTCATTAAGGTGGATGGCAGGACTTTGCACAGAGTATGTCTAATGAGGAGGTAATAAATTAACTCTCTTGAAAAAAACTTCTGAGTGAGTGCAGTGGAGCAAGCAGCAGGTTCAGACCTTCAGCTTGCCTTACTGGGCAGAGTCTGAGATCCGGGGTTAAGCTGGGCAGGTGAAGTTATGGAGCAGAACAAGCAGTGTGGTACTGCCGGTGTGAAATGCACTCTGTGCAGCTGATGTTTCTAACTAGCACCGTTGGCAGAACACCCTGGTTGTCAGGGCCATGAGCCGTTTGCCTCGGAGCCTGTTACAGGTGCATGCATTGCCTTTGGCTGTGCCATTGCTGCCAGTGTCCGCTGTAGCCTGTTTGTGACACCTGACTAGTGGTTTTTATCCTGGGCTGGTGGAGAGTTGACCACCTACCTTCTGGCCATATCGTCACAAAGACCAGGTCTGTCCTATCCCCTGCAGTTGGCATAACTGAGCTGTCCCTCTGCGTGGCTTCAAATGCCCTTGGTCGAGCAATAGATTCAGCTCAGCATTTGCATAGTCCAAGTGTGCAGTAAGCAACTGGGCTGTGCCTTTTGCACCATCTCATTGGCCAAGTGGGCCTCTCGGCCTTTCTGATAGTTCTGCAGTCCTGCAATGAGTCGTCATCAAGCCAAGGGCACGTTGGCTTTCCCAGCCCACCCAAGCTTGTTTAAGTGGCTGTGGCAGATGCTTCTGAAATCGCTCTTTGCCTTCATCCAGCTTGCTATCAGAGCAGAGGGCTTGACAAGGGACACAAACTTGGTTGGAAAATGGCTGAGAGCCTGACTTTCCCATCCATATGGAATAACTGTGCAGCCAGTGCTCCCTCTAGCGGGGATTGGGCAGAGCTGATGATTCACTCCAGGTTTCCTCGAAGCATTCCTGAGGCTTGGCACTGCTGCAGTCAGCCTTTTTGGAAGGAGGAAAGTGCCTTTTTATTCTAATAATCTTTGGCCACGAGAGAGTTCTTGTGCTGTAATCATGGTGCTTGGCAGCCTGGGCTGGAGAGGGGCTTTTGCAAGCCGTGGAGGATTTTGTGCCTTTCATTTCCAGTAGGTGTGGACTTCATAGCCTAATGCCTTGTTCTTTGCATGTGAGAACAGAAATCAGGCCTGGGGGGTTAGAAAGCTCCAGTGCTGGGCAGAGACTGCCTGGGTGTAGCAGCTTGAAAGGCTTTGGCCTGCCCACTGCCTTGCTGATAAGGGCACAGGGTAAGGAAGTGAGACATGGAGTGCTTCTTAGGGAGACATAGGATCATCTCCAGATTGATGCCATGCTCCTCTAGTGTTTCTGCTGTTGCTCGTGGAGCGGGGCACAGGTCATCAGTATTCTCATTAATGCAAGAACAGCTTCTCCTGCACCATTGATTTTCTCTACCTTGCACTTATGCACGCAGCCCTCCCCACTAGCACCAAGCAGGACTGAACTCACTACTTACAAAAGGATAATGTGCTAAGCCCCTTCCTGAAGTCCTACCATGAGTGTCACAGCGCAGCAGAGACTTGCCAGACCCCGGTCCTGCCAGGTCAAATAGAGTGTAAGTGAGTTACTGCTGCTGTTGCACAACCTCGCAGTTACATGGCCAAGTGATAAATGTGCAGAATGAGGGGCAGTTTCTGCAGCCTGCTGTGGTAGCGGACTCGTGGGAGAGTCCCCAAATGGAGGGACCGTCTGCTGCAACTATTTTGAACCTTACAATGACAACAGGAGATGGAAAAGCAGGAGCAGTAGAAACAGCGTGTTGCAGACCAAGAATCCAGAGCTAACCACCACTCACAGACATACGTACCTGAGTTGCAAGAGTCTGTCAACCCCGGATCAGCCTTGTCAGCCATCTTTGGACTCACAGATAAAGTAATCATGGAAGACTATCATCCTTGACTTCAAGGGATTGCTGCTGATGATGTTTTGGCCCTTGTCAAGTTCTGTTTACCTGCCTGCTACATTTTGTACTGCACATATACACCTGTATTTTTGCCCTTTCTCTGCCTTCAGTTGGGCAATCAGGAGACCCAGACATAAATATTTGCCCAAGGCAGTTTTTTTTGCCTTGCTTGGTGCACATCATTCCTGACACCTTTATTTTTTTGCTACCACACAAATGCATATTAACTGTGTGTTTTCTGTTCTTCAAATTGCAGCATGGCATGCTAATTGGTATTGAGCGGTTGCCTATCTGTTCACAGATTTTTGCATATCTCTCATTTTCCAGGACGCTGGAGTTCCTAATGAGGCACTTGGCTCGTCTAGCTGATTATTGCTCCATCACGAATATGCACACCAAGAACTTAGCAATTGTCTGGGCACCAAACCTCCTAAGGTAGTAACTCTTCCCTCCCACTTCCCCCTGCCCCCTGTCGTTTTTACATTCAACCTTACGTTGCACCTACTCCTTGAAATGAAACACTGTAAACCGGCTAAACAAACATAATAATATGTTCTCTAGTCGGGCAACTGCAAGCACCCAAAACATTGGTGATGTGTAGGGGGTGCACACGGGTACACGAGCACCCTCTGAGCGTGGCGGTGCACCCCTTGCAAAAAGGCTCTGCTGACACTGCTGGCAGCACCTGCAGGCAGTCACCGCTCACAACTCCCCCCACTGCTGACACCACCAGTGGTGTTGGTGGGTGGTCCACTGTCGGCGGCATCTGTGGGTGGTCGCTGACCACTGGTCAGTGCTCACCATCCCCCGCCACTGACAGCACCATGCCTATCTGCAGGAGCTCCCCGCTTGCCGCCGACAGCTCCACTGGTCAGTGCTCACCACCCCCCGCCACTGACAGCACCATGCTTATCTGCAGGAGCTCCCCTCTTGCCGCCGACAGCTCCACCACCGCCTGCGGGAGCTCACCGTGCCCCCCCAGCCTCTGGGAGCACACGGCATTCATGACCCAAAATGCACTGAACTCCATCCTCCAAAGGCTTCCATTATACCATGCTTGCTTGGGCAAAGGTCCTTTTGCTTTTTGAGGGGAGAAAGGGAGGGGGGCGTTCCTGAATAATGGCTTCAAAATAGGGCAGGATTGGACCCACTTGGTCAGATCCTCAGCTGGGTTAAATAGCATAATTGTCATTCTCTCTTGGAGAGCTGCACAGATAGGTGGTGATAGGGGAGTGTTTGAAGTGATTTTGGACATTCCTTTGGTTAACGATTCCCTGTGAGTGCAAAGGACCAGACTTAGTGACCGACCAGGCTCCTTCCAGTCCTGTGTTTCTGTGATGGCATGATCTGGCCCTTTGGACCTGCTTGTTCTTTTGCACCAGGAGAACTCCACTGGCTTCCAAAGAATGACTCATTTATACAGCACTGGCCTTAGAAAAATGGTGTCCTGGGCAAACTTGTATTTTGGCACCCTGCCCTGCGGCACCTCAACTCAGCTGCACTGCTGCAGGCAGAGGCAGGTGGGGAGGGGAGCACAGCTACCCGGGCAGGTGGTCCAATCTCCAGCTCATCTCTGTCCCTGGCCACCGTTGCAGCCACCAAGGTGCCCGAGCGCCCATGTGGAGCCACCCCAGTGACACCCCCAGTGCAGCTGCATGGTCAGCCCTGGCCAGGCGGTGGGGAGGAGCGAGGGGAGCACAGCTGCCCGGGAAGATGGCCATGTCCCCAGCTTGGTCTGCAGCACTGTGGGCATCTCCCCGGCCACATGACGGGGGGCAAGGAATGTGCTTCCACAGCCATCTGTACTGCCCGGCTCGGCTCGGCTCGTCCTGAGCAGCTTCTAGAGACTTTTCCCCTGAGATGTCTTTCCCCCTCCTTTGGCAAGATGTGAATAATGTGTCCTTGGGTCATCCAGGGAAAATTCTTCTATTCTATGACCCAACCAGCTTTCCATTGCATCAGTCTCTATAGTCTGACTTAAATGCTTTTGGCTAGCGGGTATCAGCTCTGTGGAAATAGTCTTGGATAAATACTGTCCTCTAGAATTGGCTATGACTAACATTATAGTTCTAACTTTCATCATTTGAAAGCAAATTGCTGCACACTCATTTTGTGGTATTAGTTTCTAGCCTGCTTTGTTACCAGGGTGAGAAATGAGTCATTGATTTCCTCGTGTGCAGTTAATGAGTGTAAGCAGGCTTCTTTTTTCTGGTAATTTTGTCTTCCCGCAAGTGATGAGAAAAAAAAAAAAGTTCTCTTGCTTGTGTGGCCTCTTGAACTGCAGCGCAGGGTAAGGGGGGACTGGAGGGGGACTTGCTGAGCAGTACTAGTTGGAGAAGTTTCTAGCTCATTAAAAAGGCCACAGTGAACTTTTAAGGAAGCTGCATTTTAAAATGAATGCGTCTGCTCCCTCGAATGGAAGGAAGGAGACTGATCATGCTTACACACTGCCATCTTCTTGTGCAGCCTTAGTGCTCTCTTCAGTCTCTGTAGCTGCAACAGGTGCTCCCCTCTTGCCATCCCCAACCCCATTTCAGGCTCGCATCTTGTTCTCGCTAACTTAGTAGGAGTCTTCACAACCACAAACTGAGCCTGCTCATTTGTACAGCGCTGTGAAGGGCTCATTTCTCTGATATAACTGATTTAAAATGCTGGATGGGCCAAATGCATAGCTTGGCCTGTATGTGTAGCTAAAGTCTTAACTGCCCAAACCACTGTGTGCTGTAGCCCAACAGCAGCTGAGATGATTTATGTGCCCTCTGCGTTTGCTAATATTATGTTCACCTTGTCTTCCTTTCCAAGGTCAAAGCAGATCGAGTCTGCCTGCTTCAGTGGAACAGCTGCCTTCATGGAGGTGCGAATCCAGTCAGTGGTTGTGGAGTTCATCCTGAATCATGTGGATGTCCTCTTCAGTTCCAAACTCAGCTCAGTCATACGAGATGGGGCAGGTGCGTGTCTTCCTCCATGGTTTCCACTCGACACCAATTAATGGCAGAGTTCAAGTGAAAACTCTTCCCTCTCTGGAAGCAAAGGAAATTTGGAATTGTTTTATACAGTGAAAGCGCAGACCCAAGTTTTCAGACTCAAGCACCTTGGGTTGGTCATTATAGCTTGATTTGAGGGATGCCTGGGCACCTTCTTCTAGTGACCATTAGGTAATTGAGGGAACTCCACACAATTGTAGGACTGGACCTCATGACTTGGCCAGAGCAGCTGCTTCTATCTCTCTTCCTGTGACTTGCAATTGTTTCTCGATCCTGATAGTTAGAACTCTTTGCTTATGAAAGGGATGTGTTCATGTTTCAGGATAGTTTTAATGAAGCAGTTTCTCCTAGAAGCTCATCTGCTCAAGGTGCTTTTGCAGTACAGGCTGGTATACTGGGGTGCGTACACCTGTCATTACAGCCAGCATTTTCTGAGAGCTGAAAACACAGCAGCTGAAAAAAAAGTGGACTGACCTATAAAGGATCCACAACTCCCACTGACTTTAGCAGCCAGTGTCAGTGCTCAACACTTCTAATAATTTCTTAGGTGCCCAACTTCAGACACCAAAACACTGAAGTTTTTGGCCCTGCTTCATAGGAACCATTTTAGTTTTTCAACTACCAGAGCAGCTGACATGTACATTTTCCACATGCCTTTCAGGAATTCATTAGTATGGCTCTCAGTTGTAAGCTTCACAGCCACTTCCATGTTTGTCATGTAGCTAGTGCCAATTCCATTGTACGAGCAATGTCTGCATCTCTAGGATGGGGCTGTGAAGCATCCACTGGCAGGGAGGGATTAGCAATGAACTGCAGCATATTGCACAAGGCATTGGGATAATTGAAGCATTACCTATTTCTTTGGCCATGGTTTGTTATACAGGCTAATCTCACTCCTCCCACAGCTCCACCAAGTTATACCAGGGATGAATTTTACTCCATATTTTAAATCACTGTGAACAATACACATTGTTTTAAGAGGCATTAAATATCAGCTAGCTGGTTTACTATATCTCACCCGTGGTACAAAAGGGTGCTTGGTGAGCAGTTGCAAGTGTGAGTAGCCAGCTTGTTCCCCAGTGTATTTCTCTGTCTTGGTTTCCTTTACTTCAGGTTAGCAAATCTACTCAGTTCTGCTTTGTTAAGTTTGTTCCCTTCTAAAACAATAGAAGTGAGTGCTTTGCTCAGCTGTACTAAGAGCCCAGCTTGAGCAATACATGCATGTTTCCAACCTGAGACTGGCTCATCTTTCCATATTAATTGCACTCACTCCAGGGGGTTTTCTGCTGGGGGGAAGATAATTAGTTGGCCCGAGTTCTTCACCTGTTCCTGATTCAGAATGGAGTGTGTTAATGCAGGCGGTTGTTTAATTTGTTGGTCATTCTCAGGGAGTGCCTCAATGCTGAGCAGCAGGTGGGGGCTTGTTGCAGGGTATCAGCAGCGCTCAGGGAAGCACACAGCATCCTTGCCAGTGTTCCACGTGCATCTCTCTGGAGGTGATGGGTGAAGGAAAAGGAAATGTATTGGTGCAAGATCTCCATTGGCCTCTGATGTGAGCTCAACCGTGGTTCCCGAACTTGATTTAAGCAACTCCAGCTGAGACCATTTCTAACATGGTGTGAATGGCCACTGAAGATCAGCCTGGGTTGGGACAAGATTTCTGGAATTTGGTACAATTCTTGCACTAGACTGGATGGTTGGTAGCACAGAAAAGCATTTACATTGGACTCAAAGGCCACTGCAGACATGGGCATGTGCACAATTTCTCCAGGGTTGTGTAACTGCCGGTACTGATTCCTCTTGCTGAGCAACATCAGTGAAGCTGATGGGGGACTGTCCTATTAGCATTTCAGAGTTCAGGCTCCAGAGGAGGGGGTGGTTATAACTGTGTGTGCATGTTTAGATACTTAAACTCTGCTCTAAGCTTCATCTGCAGCAGGATTTCCCAATTTGTTTTCCGGTTGTAACCTGGCGGACAGAGTCATTAGTCTCCAGGCCACAGTTAATGGGGCAGGGATTTACTTCCTCTCTGCTTCTCTTCAGTAACTGTCTCTCTCTCATCCCAGGGTGGCAGGATTGCCAACCCAAAAACATTTTACTGAAAATCTTCAAATTTTTTACAGACAAAAACTTGCTTTACTGATATTTTTTCCACAATGTAAAGGGAGTGCGAAGTACAAAAATGCACAAGTTATTTATGTAGTTCATAGGCACAAGAGCAGCTGAGGGGCAGCAAAAGGCCTGTCCTCTTGTTTAAGGAAATACTGGATAATTGCAGGCTTGGAAGATTTGTGGGGTTCACAACTATTGCAACCCCAAGTTAAGAACTACAGATCTGTAAGGAACAGTGACATAAAAAGTGTTCAGCTTGCTTACAACTTCCAAAAAAAAGGAGAAGAGAGAAACAGTCAGGCTTCTTCATTTCATCGCTACCAACAGGCCTTTTAGTATTGATTCAAGCAGGCAACCATGATTGTAAAATAGAACTGGCTCCTATTGCAATGCCTAGATTAGCCATTCCTCATTGCATGATAGACTAGGAGTGCAGGCCACTATAGCTGGTAGTTACTGAAATGACATGTGTAGGGTTTTGAGCCATCCCACAGGATAATTACAAATAACCTGTGTTTAGGGTGCAGAGGCGGTTAAGCAAAAATATGCAATAGAATGGTTATGTTTAAGCCCTATAGGCTTTTTGTATTGAACCAGATTAGACTTCTGCTTTTATATTTTTTGAGGCCGAAGCAATTATTTATGCCGTTTTACACTCATTCACACGCACCCCTAGAACACAGCTGGGAGCAGGGTCGGTCTTTTCTTGTTTTCCTTAGGATTACAAGGTCCCAGGCAAATGTGCTACCACCAGTCCCTGGGTCTTGCTTTTCCTCCAGCTGCTCCTCCCTGAACCTCTTCCTTGCCTCTCGTTCTCCTTTGCAGGTCACAGCTCCTTATCACGGCCTAAATCGCTGCTAGTGTCATCTCCCTCCACCAAGCTGCTCACGCTGGAGGAGGCCCAAGCACGGACACAAGCCCAGATCAACTCCCCTATTGTGGCAGACAGTAAATACATCGAAGTAGGAGAAGGCCCTGCAGCCCTGCAGGGGAAATTCCACACGGTCATAGACTTCCCCGCTGAAAGGTAAAGGTTTTTTCTTTCAGCTGGCTTTCAGTTCACAGGGGTTTCACCTCCATCTTCTTGTGCAAGGACTGGGACTTCCCCACTGTGATGTAAGACAGACTCGAAGGGAACGCCTCCAGACCTCAGGCTGGGGAGGGCCAGGTTAGAGAGCTTCCGGAGGGGCTGGACGCATTCAAATCAGCGGGTCCAGATGCTTTCCACCCCAGGGTGTTGAGGGAGCTAGCAGGGGTTATTGCAGGGCCCTTGGCACGGCTTTATGAGCACTCGTGGTGCTTGGGCCAGGTGCCAGATGATTGGAAGATAGCCAACGTGGTCCCCATCTTTAAAAAAGGGAGGACGGAG